GGCGTGCAGCAGAGGCTGCGAGGGTAGAACAATCGTTGAAGTGATACGTATCGGACCTCTTAAGAAGCGACGAACTGGAGCAGTTTTAACTGATAAGAACCTACAGGATTCTTAGTTTTGACTGGACAGCGGGTATCAGCCATTTGAATACTCGATCGTTGGGTAGTAGCCAGCTAACGCAGGCTCCCCGTTCAAACGGTCTTGTCTCTGAAACTGCGAAAGGAGAGTGCTATGCTCAGCCCCAGAAAGAACTAAGACATCAAAGAAGAGCTCTCCAGTCACTCACATATATTTCTTATTTTTTTGAGTTACTAACTCGCCGTCAGATTCTCGGAGTTCGCTCCGGGTAGTTTATTAGCCAGCTAACGCAGGCTCCTCATTATTGAGCGGCTTGGTCTCTGAAGCCCGTGTCTTTTGGGTGGTGTTTCGGTAACTTTAATAAATAAATAAAGTCGAGCCATTTTAATTTGCAACCCTGTTGGTCACACGTCGGTCATTTGATTCTTGCATCATTGGGTAGTTCTAGTAGCCAGCTAACGCAGGCTCCCCAATTAAACGATCAGGTTTTGGGTGCCGATTTGTGCTCCGATAAAAAGGGCCATAAAACTAATTAGTCTAGAGTAAAACAAGGAGTAACTGTTCCACGTCCAATACAAATTTTAGAGTTTTTATAATTAACCAAATATTGTTCTGTCAGTTTTGTTAGGATCTAGATCCATTATAAAATTGCATTATTTTCTTGCGTTGCGTACATCATTATAAAACCGCGTAACTGAAGTAGTTAGTTACCGTCTTGCAATTTGCGATATCAATAAGTCTAATATACTCCATCTTGCTTATAGAATTCAGTCGTACATATATTTTTATATTCGCTAAAGAAATTGTTAATTATGACTCTCTTTTTCATCGTTACTCGAATAAACGTAATTAATGAAAGGTATTAACCTGTAGATTTCACTCTTTAACCACACGCCACCGCGATCCCACATTCTTTTAGAATTAGTTATAGTAAAACGAGTATAGTAATTTTATATAATATGTAATATTTTTCATTCCGATTGATCCATCGGTTGTAAATTATTCATTAGACATACACAAAGAATAAGTTCTTCGGAATACCAGTAGCTAACAATAAATAGTTTCAATTCCAAATTTTTTACTAATAAAACTACCGCAGAAACATTCTCTACAATCTGTGAAATAAAAAAAGCTTTCATATTAATCGGTCCATGAATTGCATAGTAATTAGTAGAGATACATATGACACTAAGCTTTTTACAACAATAATAAGTAATAATAAACAATTGTAGGCATAGTGATCGGTCCATACATTGAAGGCTAATTGCTGGACATACAGGGAATCACAAGCAAAAACACACTATAAATCTGTTTCTAATTTCGCTTAATAAATGCACTTTATAAATATGCTGCTTCTGTAATGATTATAATGATATTCAATAAGAAAAAAATAAATTTTATCAAATATTTTATATAAAATAAATGTACAATATGGTTTACGGCCGATGTTGTATATCTACAATGATCGTTCGATAAATCTTAACTTTTTCCTATTTTGAAATTTTAATTAGTAATTTATACAGATATTTATGCGCTACATATGCATTAGTAAAGTGTTTTTTCTATTGTTTACAGTTTCTTAGAAAATCAAATGTAAACAAAAATTACAAATTTGAAAATGTATTGTCAATTCATAATAATAGGCAGTCAATTCCTTTGACACCAAATTGTTTCACCATCTCGTATAAAATGAAAAAACTTTTTATAATATATATTAAACATTTCAATATCTTTAAGAAACAATTAAAGTGAAAAGGCCACTTAAAACGCGTCAATCATCACTAATATCCTTAAATTTATTTTAAAAGCTAAGAATCCTGCAAAACATCTTTGACATTTTCTTTCACAGAAATATTTTTCTATCGTTCGTAGAAGTTAGATTTTCTCGGAAATTCTTAACTTTTAAAATAAATTAAAAAATATTAGCAAAGACGCATTTCACTATGATAATTACTTAAAAATATTAATACTTATAATGTAATAACAATTTATATTATTTTATTTGAAAGAGTTTATAGTATTTTTCGTAGCAAAATGAACTGATTGATTATTACTTATTATTAACGTGAAAGCATAAAGCACTTCTAAAATCGAATCAATTTTAGTTCAAAATTAATTTTTTTAAAAACTGGAGATACTAAATAAAAATTAAATACTAAATTTACGAATTTGGATTCTACAAAAACCTATTTGACACACTTATTGAAAATTATAAAATTAAATAAATGTTATAATTTAGCAAACGTTATTATAGATGAACGATTTTTGTTATGAAATTTAATTTGCATAGGAATCTAATTTATATTGAATACTATATTTCGATTATTATTTAACAAAAATTTTCCCCTTCAAATTGTATCATATAATTATGTATATATAGAACAGTTTGATATTCGCAATAGCTGTATTTTATTTGTATTTATTGTTTTATGTAGATCAATATAATACCGTCTACTACGGGTAAACGATGTTCATCGTGAGTAATTGTACGACGCACAGTGGCGAAAAACGGCGAAAATGTGGACAAAAGTCAAAAAATGAAAATCACAATTCTTGAAATCTATCTAGTGGAACTAGTTTATAAAGAATCTGTGCAGAATGTTCTCGCACTTTAAATGATTTTATTATTACCATTTCGAAGATATAAGCCTCCAAAGTTGAACATTTTTTAAAGTCAATTTTTCCGGGCAAAGTTTGACATAATGTTGTTCATTATTTTTTAAATATTTCACTGTATATATTCGAAATCGCGTTTCTTACAATAGCTTTGGAATGTATGTCCAAGTTCTTTCAACGGTCTCAACAGTTAATTGCCAATGCCATAAATGTGAATTTCCTGAGGGTCCGAGGACAGGGCCTAGGAGACATTAACCAGGCCCCCTTGTTGACAACCCAATGGAAATTCTGTCTTACGTCCACTTTCTTTTTCCACCTCCACAAGGCACATCGTACTCCGCACGGATCGCGCTAAGGGCGCTTGGGGCAGGGTGATGTCCTTTTTTAAGCAATATTATTGGCATACAGAAGAGCCAATCAGGACAGTCACCCCATTACCTCGCTTTTCGTAGTTTTCCTGCTTAGAAACAAATCCTGAAGGAACACTCTTGAAAAATCTATCACACAGTTAAGATCGATTTCTGAACAATTTACACAGTCATACTTAGAAACATTTTTACAGTTCACGTACTTTACAATTTTAACAGTTTTACTTTCTCACTCACGAACCCGGAAACACTTTACAACACATAGACAAACTTGTTTTCTAATTTAAGTGTTTTAAATATTAAATTGTTATTTTCAAACGTTAACAACTTTACAATTATTAAACAACCAATCCACTCTATCGCTATAAAACGCCGTAGAGTCACGCGTTCGAAATTTTCGATAATTTTTGATCGTGCGCGTAACATTAAATATTATGTTCATCCAGCATTATTAGCTTTTTATATGATACTTTAGTATTATAATTATGTAAGTTGCACAACAAAATGTTTACTTTTAACATTGATATGGATAGAAATATAAACCATAGACATATTTAATGTTTATGGAAGATACAAGTTGTGATCTTCACCTCGATTCACCTACCAAGTAGGCTTAAATGAAAGCTGGGAGCTTCCCGAACAAGGATCTGTAACGATATCTTGCGGTAATTTGCGATTTTCTGAGTTATTCACATTTTTGTTCACTTGCGCGCTTTAGTATCATATGCGACAACAGCAGTTTCGGATGTTTTTCAAATATTTCGTGGCTGACCTTTGCAAACGGTCTTGTTTTGTAGGTAAGATTTCAATATCCTCATCCGTATATATATGTATTACATATTAGATATTTAAAGTTTATTCAACAATTTAAAAAATAAAAATTTATTTACAATTTCTGATATTAAAACATGAATTTGTTAATGAAAAAAATATTATTGTGATAGTTCAAACATTCAAGATTAAAATGCAAAAAGATTTAATTAATTTCTAATACTAGTTAACTAACCGTATTAGTTAACTAACAAATCAAAATTTGATTTTCAACACAAAAAATTAATTTGTAACACTAATACAGTCATCTTGTCAAAAACATTTGAATAATTTATCTGAATAATTTATGTATTGTATATTTTTATTTAAAAAATATGTTTAAGCAAACATGTATTAATAAAAACTACAATGTTCACATTAAATGCAACAGTATAATTTGCTTTATTGATAAATTTAATAATTACAAAATTACATAAATAAAGTCTAAATTTTTAGTTAGTAATGAGAACAAAGCATAAGCATTGGAACAAAAGAAATTCGTTTTTGGTACCATCTACCGACGCAAGTAGTGAACTGCAACATTGACCGGGTTTAGAAATTCATAATTTCGAACAGTGGTGCGCTGTTGTGGGATTTTTTCTCACTAGGAGTCTGTAGACACTTACATGCGCAAACGACGTTACTGACTAGAGACATTATGTGCTGCCATGACTGTACATAGGGTATAATATTAGACATATAACAGGGGCCCGTGTATATCCCCAACACAATGATAATATGATTTTAAAATGTAATTATGACATTATTTAGCATTTAAATAATAACACAATATGATCATATCTGTTTTTATGTGTGTACATACAGTGCTTTGGAATGCTGGTAAGATATTTTGCAGTGTTCTTACCTCACAAGAAATGTTATTAGCCGTATAATAAATTAGCTGTAATTGTAAAAAGTAACAAATACATATTATTAATTTTATTTATATAATATTTTATTTCGTTTATTGAAACTATCTTTTCTTTCTAAAACTTCTTCCATATATTTTTTTAATCTGGGGCCTAATGATACCCTTACATTTAAAGGACATAAGCACGTCATTGAAACGCTGCTAGTATTTTCTTAATGCACATGCGCCAAAAATCTCACGACAGCGCATCATTGGTTTCGAAAGATCAGTTGTCTTTTTGTTTGCGTTGAGTCTTGAAGGTTGCTAGAATTTATATTTGAAAATTAAATGTAAAAGATTTAACGACCGCTGAAAGATCATTGTAGGCCTTACAGTCAAATTACGTGAATAATTCTAATGAATTAAATTGGCAATTTTTCCAAGAAGGTTGACTATCGTGTCAAAAGATATTCTGATATACCCTCGTTTTGTAAGGTAGGTTCGGTTTTTTAACGATGTATGTTTAGAATTATTGTATTCTAGTACTCGATAAATATTTTGTTGTGATTGATAAAATTCTTCGTAATTTTTTATTTTTACGGTTAAACATTATCTGTAGCAGTAAATTAATATTGCATGGAACATATACGCATATAGCTTGATACCAAAACGTATTTGTGTACCGTTTAAAACAGAATAACTTTCCTAAAATTGGATCAAACGGCTTGAACCTTTTTGAAAAGTCAGGAGAATTAATTTGTTAAATATTGTACTTCCATTGTTTTGAAGAAGTTGCAGCTGGTTGAAATCACAATTGAAAAGGTCCTTTTTGTAGATTTAAATAAATTATATACATTCTAAATATTTTATTGAAATTATTTAATGTAGCTGTTAGTTACAGTTAAAAATTGCAAAAATCCCAAATTTCTATCTATAATTACAGTAAACCTAAAGATTGTTGCATATTATGATGCATGTCACTTTGTTTTTGTATTATTTGATTTCAACATTTATTCAAGTGGTTAGAAGTTGTTTTTGTCACTTTCTTCCTAATTTCAATGAATTGCAGTTATTTCAAACAATAATGAAAAGATGTCATCTAATAAATTAATCCCAATTTCTCCAAAAAGTTCAAATGATTTCGTCCAATTTTAAACAAGTTATTCCATCTTAAGAATTATACAAATAGTTTTTGTGACCTTTATAAACATAATATATAAACCATTCTAATTGATTTACAACTGTAATAATATTATTATGATTTTAATTTTATGTATTGTTTATATTTCAAATAACAATATAATATGTTAGAAAGTATAAAGCATTAGTTGAAGTTATTGATTACAGTGCAGAAGCGTTCTGAGAATCATAAATTATATTTGTTACCTAGTGTCCTATATAATTCCTACATAAAAATAATATTTTTGTATTTCCTTATAATAATTTAATTAATAATTGTTACATATACATATTTGTAAGATGATGTTATTAAATCAGTTATCTAAATCAGACCTGTCCAAACCAGAGTCCTGAGGGCCCCGAAATTCCTTGGAATTTGAGTGAGGTCCCTGAAGCCCTAGGAGACAGAGGTTCTATCGAATTTAAACAGTGACAAAAGACATAAACTTTTTACTGGAAAGCTCAGAGGAAGCTATTTCATATTCGCTTTCTCCTTGTTTATATGTCGTGACCATTCAACACATTTGACATTTTCATTTTTAAAGAAAAGAAGTAAGCATAGAATAAGATGTACAAAAGAATCTTCTAAACATATGCTTTCGATAGCACAACATGTGCTTCTTGTCAAGCATTAATTGTTACAGGATAGGGTCACGAGGTCAGATCCAAAAACGTTTTTTGGACGGATTTGATTTAAATAATTCATTATTAAATGATTTATCATTTGATGAAACAGCTGTAATTTTGATAAGCTTAAAATATGTTAAGAATATTATTTCCAGACATTATTATAGAATCCAGTAATTATTTGTATTAAGACTGCTCTAATAACCTTTGACATATTGTCAAGTACAGTATTCTGGAGAACTTTTCATAATACCATTATCATGACCTAATCATAACATAAAACCACCAAAAGTGCTTTCTAGCTAATGGAAACCACATTGAACATGAAATGTAAACATATCAGTAAGAAATACCAGTAAGTACAGTAATACGAAATATTTGAAATATTTCGCTTGTTTTTGACTCTGAATGGGTCTCAAGGTTATAATATGGTACATCGTTGAATTCGTTTCGATACGCCCTTTCATATGATATAAAAAAATATATACCATTCCACTTAAAAAACTGAAGATTACCTTCGCTTCTCAAAAAATAGTATAAACACGAAAAATTTATATACTTTGTGATGTTGATTATAAAAAACACTATCACTTTTTCCTCTTTTATTTTTTTCTCGTATCAGTCGTTTACGAGAAAAACAGTGGCTAGTAAATCTCTGAACACCCTGTATATCAATTTTCGGTCTCAGCGATGTTTACAAAAACAGTAAAGAAACGACGACCCCATGGTAAAACACCGTCGTTGCAAAAGTATATGTAAGTACACGCAGTATTCACTATAATAACAGCAGCAATCTTATGCAAATAGTTTGAAAACTAAAGCAGAACAATGGGTACATGTATAAGGAAAAGTTGTCCAAAATGACCTTCCTGACAATATATTGCAAGCTTATCAAAATCAGGGCTGATCGCCTTAATGTGAATATTTAGAAACTAATATTTTTGATTATTTTTATATATTTATAAATTTATGTTATTGTTAAATCATCTGTCTAAATAATTTATCATGTAAAATATGCAGAAATGGTATTTATTTTATATGGTATATAAGATTTTCTTATTAAATATTAGAAATGAAGACAGTGAAAAGATTAGGAGTATATCAAGAGTAGTTATATTTGTAGGTTTTAAAACATGGAACAAGACACAGAATACGTTAAGCTACCATTAGAAGAACGATGTGTGCATAAGGTAATATATTGCTGATTATTAAGTTAAGGAAGTTATATTATAAATTATTTTTATAATGTATTAATATTATATAGCTATGGAGGGCACGATTACATGGTTATAAAGAATGCGTGAACACATTTCAATGTATTGACGATGAAAAATCTCCTGAATGGAACAAATTTTTGGGATTCATTAAAAAGTTTGTATTAGATAGTAATGCTGTTGCACAAGAAAAAGGTTTGGAAGCAGCATTAGCTTTTGTTGAAAATGCTGCTGTAGCAGGAAAGTAAGTACTATTCTGTATTCTTATTTTTATATATGTTATTTTACTATTAACAAAGTTCATTGACATATACTTTACAATGTGAAATCACATGGAAGTTGTAAATAGATAATATATAAATTTATATTATAATATATAAATATATGTAATATATTAATTACTGTCTTGTAGGACTGTTGGTGAAGTTATGAATGGAATAGTCACAAAATGTATTGCAGCGCCTAAAGCTAAAACAAAAGAGTTAGCAGTACAGATAACGTTAATGTACATAGAAATTGAAAAACATGAAATCGTTCAAGAAGAATTATTGAAAGGAACAGAAGCAAAAAATCCAAAAATTGTTGCTGCGTGCATTTCAACTTTAACATTGGCTTTAAGGTAAGAATATTTATTTATATTATTAACTAGTACATATAAAATGATATAAAAAATTGTGTTCGTTACCATATGATTCTTTATTTTTCTTTAATTGTATAGGCAATTTGGACCAAAAGTAATCAACATAAAACCTTTATTAAAAAAGATTCCTGGTTTTCTTGAAGACAGAGATAAAATTGTTAGAGATGAGGGCAAATTTATGGTTGTTGAAATTTACAGGTATTGATTTTAATTACTATATAATATTATGATATGATCATCATTAATTTGAATATCTACTTTATGTTAGATTTTTTTTATGTTTAGGTGGATAGGTGCTCCTTTGAAACAACAGTTGAATACATTAAAACCTGTACAAATTACAGAACTGGAAGCGGAGTTTAATAATTTAAAACAAGAAAAAGTTGTACCAACCCGATTTTTAAAATCTCAAAAACCAAAATCAACATGCATTGTAGATTCTACAAGTGATACTGGTGAAGGTAAAGAATATTAAAGCTGTTTCACATCAGTGTTCTCTATTCACGTTTACTTAAAAGTTTTCTGCTTTGCAGAAGGAAAAGACGATGGTGATACAGGTTCTATTCCTGATATTGATCCCTATGAATTGTTAGAACCTGTTGATATACTTTCTAAACTACCGAAAGATTTTTATGAAAAAATTGAAGCTAAAAAGTGGCAAGAACGAAAGGAAGCTTTAGAAGCATTAGAAGTTCTTGTAAAAAATCCTAAATTAGAAAATGGTGATTATGGAGACGTAGTAAGAGCTTTAAAAAAGGTAAATGTAATTTACACATATTATTCGTGTTTATCAAAACATATTATTTACTTATATTTTAAATGTTAAAAACAGATCATCTCTAAAGATACAAATGTATTAGTCGTTACACTCGCGGGAAAATGTCTAGCAGGACTAGCAACTGGTCTCAAAAAACGATTTCAACCTTATGCAACAGCATGCCTTTCATCAATTTTGGAGAAGTTTCGAGAAAAGAAACAAACTGTTGTTCAAGCACTTAGAGAAGCTGCAGATGCAATTTTCCTCAGTGTAAGTAGAAACAGAATTATAAAAACATATTCTAGTATAATTGTATTAGAACTTTTATTTTAAATTTAAATTACATCAATAACGTATGTATTATGTTGAATAGATTTTTGATCATTTTTCTCACATGTATTAGGTTTCTATTGATGTTATATTAGAAGATACACTTGCTGCATTAGAAAACAAAAATCCTGCAGTGAAAGCAGAAACAGCGGCGTATTTAGCAAGATGTTTTTCTCGAACACCACCACCAAGCTTAAATAAAAAATTATTAAAAGCTTATACTACTATACTTCTGAAAACTTTAAATGAACCAGGTATGTTTTAAATTGCATTTCTGTAAATCGCTTTTTTAATTATTATTTTATTATTTAATTTATGACAGATCCAACTGTTCGAGACAGTTCTGCAGAGGCTCTTGGTACAGCAATGAAGTTAATTGGAGAAAAATCTATGATGCCGTTCCTTACAGATCTAGATAACTTAAAAATGACAAAAGTATTTTTCGATTGTATTTTTATGTATGGAAGTTATAATTTTTTATACCGATTATATTAATTTATTTGTATTCTTTTTATTAGATAAAAGAATGCGCTGAAAAGGCTGTAATACATATTAAAGTACCTAGTGTTTCAAAAGTAGTTGCGGAAAGACCAAATACTGCTCCATGCAAAATTGAAACAACAGTAAAATCTAAAGAAGCAGAAGTTAAAGTTTCAAAAAGACCTAATACTAGTACTACTAAGAAAGCTGCATATAAAAAGCCATCTTCGTCATCTTTAACCAATTTGGGTAAGTCCTACAGTTTGATATAGTATTTTATTACTATAAAAAACACCACTTGATTCCCGTTGCATTTCATAGCTGCTTCAAAAAAATCATCTGCGACAAAACTTCAAGTAGAAAAGAATTATAGTATTGAAGAAATAGATGAAATGGCTATGCAATTATTACCAGGTGACATCCTATCAGGTCTCGTTGATAGTAACTGGAAGACACGTTTAGCTGTAGTTGAACAACTTTTAGAGGTAATGAAAGCGATTCTATGATATATTTTATATTATTGCTAAGATAGAAATCATAATATTGTACTAAGTACTAACTTAATGTGCTATTTTTATAGTTTGTAAAGCAAAGTAATCCAACAGAAGTACCTACTCAAGTTATAGTGCGAACTCTAGCAAAAAAACCAGGATTCAAAGATACAAATTTTCAAGTTCTCAAATTACGACTAGAAATAGTAAAATATTTGGCAGAAAACTTTCCATTTTCAACGTAAGATGTATATCTCTTTATATATTTAATTCTAGCTTTAAAAACTTAATTACATCTATAAAAAGTATCTTAATTTTTCAATAGATGCTTGTGAGACATCTTGTATATATTGTATTATATATATTATAATAACAATTAAAGGGTGTCTCAGATTATTCAGGTCACCTGACTTTTTCATACATGCGACATTTTTAAGAGAAGTGTTTGAGATGAAAGTTTTATGTGACGCGTTCGATGGTAGTATTAGTATGACCTGGAATAGTGTTGTTAAGGTTACATGAAAATTACATTTAATTTGTTTAATAGAACTTTCCTTTTTTCATTACATATTCTTGTAGCTAAGTTGTAAGGTTTAAAAGTTATCGTCGGCATTAGCATTAGATAAATTCGACCATGCAATTTTCATACTGTACATCTTGAGTAATAATAATGTCGGTTGTACGTTAACTTTGAAAAATACATTTTTTCAAAATTGACGCGTATACGAAAAAAATTGAGTGACCCGGGTGGTCTAAGACACTCTGTATATATATTTATATTATTTAGTTATAATTCATTGTAGTACTGTTTGTGAATACTGCATCATGGACATAACTGAAAAATTAGGAGATGCAAAAAATAGTACCGTTGCCGGTGATACTTTGTTAGCAATAGCAGAAGCAACGAGCTTTGAGTATGTGGCAGATGAAATAGTAGCATTTGCCTTTAATCAAAAGAATCCTAAAGTTCAACAAGAAACATTAACCTTGCTGTGCAGGGGACTTATTGAATTTGGTTGCGTGTAAGTAGTACACCTTTTTAAGTAAAAGTTTTGCAAGTATATTAATATTATAAATACTTAAACATGTTCGCTACTACACTGAAATCAGTAAAAACCAAGACGTGTAGTATTTTTAATTTTAACAAATTTTATATATTATCTTCACAATTCTTTAGAATGTTCTAAAGTAATTCATTCCAAGTAATTAATATATTATTTTTAATCATGGATATGTGGATGATGAACTTTTCTGCAAATTGAAGCGTCACTAACATATAAGTGATATGATAGTGAACATGTTAATAACAATAATAATAATAACAGTAAAATATATTAGATTAAATATACATATGTATATGTTGTAGTATTAATGTTAAATCTTTAATGGATAATATTAAGAAAGCAGTTGCGGTAACAAATCCTGGAGTTCGTACTTCAGCTATTACATTGTTAGGTACATTATATTTATTTATGGGTAAACCATTGCTTACATTCTTCGAAAATGAAAAACCTGCTTTACGTCAGCAAATCGAACAAGAATGTGAAAAGGTAAAATTTTTATTATTACGATAAGTTGTTGTTCATCATTATTACCACGATATCATCGATACATATTACGTTTATTTTAGCATAACGGCGAATCTTTACCAGTACCAATCCGTGGACTAAAAAATAAAAAGGATAAAACAAGTGATGATGACAACGATGTGGAAATGGACAAAAAATCCAGTAGCAACAGTGAAATTGATATTACTAATCTCATTCCACGCGTTGATATTAGTAATCAAATTACTGAAAGTCTACTTAATGAATTGGCAGATAAAAATTGGAAGGTAGGCATATTATTATACCTATATTAATCAAATATAGTATATCTCATTATTTGATATTCTAAATAATTAAATTTTTATTTAAATTAGGTACGAAATGAAGGTTTACAAAAAATAAGCACGATTATTTCCGACGCAAAATTTATAAAAGGTTCTATTGGTGATTTACCGCAAAGTTTAGCATTACGATTGGTTGACAGTAACAGTAAAATAGCTCAGTCGACTTTGGGCATCTGTCAGGCATTAGCTTTAGCGATGGGGCCATCGGCAAAACAACACATTCGAGTTCTTTTCCCTGGTTTCATACAGTGTTTGGGTGATAGTAAAAACTGGATTAGAACAGCAGCAATATCATGCATAAATACCTGGGGAGATCAATGTGGTTATAAAGAATTTTTTGATGGAGAAATGATAGGAGATGTATTAAAATCTGGGTCACCGATACTTAGAGCAGAGGTTTGGAATTGGTTAGCACAAAAGTTGCCGTTGATTCCTGTGAAACAAGTTCCAAAAGAAGAACTTCTTGTATGTCTTCCACATTTGTACAGTAATTTAGAGGATCGTAATTCTGATGTTCGGAAATTCGCTCAAGAAGCAGTTTTAGGATTTATGATTCATCTTTCCTATGAAATGATGGCTAGAAACACAGAAAAGTTAAAGCCTGGTTCAAGAACAGTAGTCCTTACTGCATTAGATAAGTCTCTTCCGAACTTGCCTCAAAAACCTTTACCATCAAAGCCGGCACCTGAAGAAAGCAGTCAAAAAGTTGTTAAGAGTGGCGGAGCTATGAAAGCTTCAAAAGCAGTAGTAAAACCTAAACAAAATCAATCAGCTTCGAAACCAGGGAGTGCACGTAAGAAGGATGACGATGTGGATACAAGTCCTCTTTTAGCTATTAATAATCTTAAACATCAAAGAGCGATTAATGAACAGAAATTAAAGGTATTAAAATGGAATTTCACAACACCTAGAGAAGAATTTGTTGAACTGTTAAAGGAACTTATGACTGCTGCAAATGTGAATAAAACTTTATTGGCGAATATGTTTCATTCAGATTTCCGATACCACCTAAAAGCCATCGAGGCATTAACCGAGGTATTTTATAAAAATACTTAGATCCTAAAGTTCCATTTTTAGTGAATGTAATATTTAATCGTAACATTGGTTAATTTTTATTTTTATAAATCGTAGGATCTGCCTGATAATAGTAAAGCATTGGTATCTAATTTGGATCTTATTCTTAAATGGTTGACGTTACGATTTTTCGATACCAACCCTTCAGTATTATTAAAAGGTTTAGAATACTTGCGAATGGTATTTAATTTATTAATAGAAGATCAATATCATATGTTGGAGAACGAAGCGGCATCATTTATTCCGTATTTAATTATTAAGGTAAATTACTTGTATATCTATTTCTTAATGTTATTTTTGCGAATATTATAAATAAATGTATGATAAATTTTTATGTAGATTGGCGATCCAAAAGATGCAGTACGTAATGGAGTTCGGTCATTGTTTAAACAAATAGCATTGGTATATCCTGTAAGCAAATTATTTTCGTATGTAATGGAAGGTTTAAAGTCTAAAAATGCTCGTCAGAGAACAGGTATATAATCTTATAGCAAGTTAAACATAGAAAATATACTTAAGTAATAGGAAATTATTTATAATTTCTTTTAGAATGTCTGGATCAGTTAGGTTCACTTATTGAAAATTACGGATTATCCGTTTGTCAACCTTCTGCTTCTGTGGCTTTAAAAGAAATAGCAAAACAAATAGCGGATCGTGATAATTCTGTTCGAAATGCTGCATTAAATTGCATTGTTCAAGCATATTTTCTTCAAGGAGAACGAGTATATAAACTTATTGGCCAGGTAATATTTTTTAAAATTATATGTTATTATTAATCATAGATTAATTGTACTTGATTATGATGTTTTTAAAAATTAATTTATACTTTAGATATCCGAGAAAGATCAATCATTACTAGATGAACGTATTAAAAGGGCTGCTAAAAATCGACCAACAAAATCAGCTTCTACGAATAGGCTTACAGTTGCTTCAAATCCAGCTTCTGCCGCTTCTAACGAAGACGTTAAAACCGATTATGAAGAAGAAAATGAAGAAATACTTGAACCGCAATCTTCACCCCAACCTCAACTAAATGAATTGTATGTACAATACATATTTATTATATATAATTACATTTAACTTTAATATTTTTTAATGATGAACACAATGATGTACATAAAATTATGCTTTTTGCACTAATATTTATGACATTAATCACATAATTAATTTAATATTATTAATTGTATTTAATTAATTTTAGTTTAATATCATTATTAAATTATTCATATCATGATTCAGTACGATAGTTTCAACATAATATATTATTTTATTTTGTATTTTACTGCTTTTTAATGTTACTTATGTCTGCATGAATTTGCTTTTTAATGATTCTTCAGGCCACATAATGATTTGCCAACAAATGTAAAACCAGAAAAATCATCTGATGAAGCACAAATGTCTCCTGATACTGTTGGGTGAGTGCAAAAGTTTTGATGTGTTCTTAATATGTAGATGGTGTGATTAACATTAGTTCGTGGAAATAGTAAACGATCTCGTTAAAGTATTATATGTTAGTAACGAGGATGGTCGGCTGTAATTCAGAACAGAAATTGGTAGGGTTCATCGAATTAATTTAATTCTAAAGTAGATAAAAAATGAACGTTAACAAATAACATCTATCAGTAATAATAATTTTCAAGTTCTACAGAGGGTTAAATATTACAAATACGGTAACAAACCTGTGTGAGGAGACTACTATGTTTATTCCAACCTGTGAAAGATGGTTTGCTAAAGATATTGCGATTTTGTCTTCAGCGATATGTCTCACATTCTTCTGTCATTGATAATCACATTGTGTATGATCTAGTAGTTGCGAATTCATCAATTTTTACTGAAACATGGTCAACAATTGTAAAAAATAATAGTAATTCAAAAAAAAATGTTCAACCCTGTTCAGTTGCAAGATCGTTAAGTTTTACCAGAACAACGCTAACCCGCTCATGCAGGGTGTTGCACTTAAATATCTAAATTATTTTTGTTATTACAAATATGAGAAAATGATAAAAAAGCACTTGAATGGTTCTAAAGTGCATATCATATTGAAAAATTTTTCAAGGACACTGGTATTTCTTTCTGCAAATTTAAATCTGTTTTCAATGATCGAAACGTGTAATCAATATACAGACAAATTTAGTAATTTATAATACCATGTTCTTGGAAAAATGAATTGTAATTAAAAGAATGTAAAAATGGAGTAACTCAGTTCAATTTATTAGATTTTTAAAATACTGATTGCCCACATCTTAAAAAAATATTCAAAGTGATTTACGATTTCGATTTAAGTGAAACACCCTGTATAATTAATTGCATAAATTATTTTAACTGAGAAAACACAATTTATCCATTTACAGTAAAATTCGACAAAACTTTTGCATTCACCTAATAATAAATAGCCTTCAGAAATTGTACCAGCAATACGTGTGTCGCCAAACGATTATGGAGATGATACTGATTTTTCATTGCATTGAAGATACATCCAATTGTAAAATCAATTTCTCAATCTATTTTGTTTGTAGCATAATCGCATGCATTTTTTGTCGTTATTGTAACGTATATATAGTTGTCTTTCTTTTAATTATTCTTTCCTTTTACTTTTGTTTGTTAATATTTTCTTTTTCCTAACAAACAGTAATCATTGAACTTGCAGAAGCAGTAGATACATTATGAGTGTTGTGACTTACAAATCGATTAATTAAAATAGAATTAAATTGTATAATAACTTAATGCTAATATATATTAGTAATATATAATAGCAATATATGTATATATGTATATTAGAAATGTATGTATGTGTTACGAATATTATGCTAGTGTTTTACACAGCCTTCATCAAATAGTAATTTTAAAAAATTGTTAACTTTTAGAAATTCTTCAACATCAACTCAACCTAAAGTATCAGGTCCGTTTGGTTTGGACCTAGACTTTTTACGAAGAATTGAAACAAATGCACCAGTGAAATACAGCAATCCTGTTCTTTTGGAAATTAATATAGATGATTTGCTCGAATCACCGAAAGTAAAACCATCTAACGTACCGTAAGTAATTATACTTTATTTGATATAATACAGTATCTTTAAGATTTAAGACCTTAGAATTGTCAGATGTTTAAATTTACTAATGTAGAAATCTTAAATGTATAAATTAACAAATATAGGAATTTAGACATTTTCATATGTTTGGTAATAAGCCACTGATTTAGCAATTTAGTGTTGCATGGAAGGGGCTTTATTATAGTCCATTTCATCATTTTTTTCACTCTAACTGCGCTATCCATAGTGAACCTCAATTGTAGTGATTTATTGTGTTACTTACATAATATACATGTATCAAAATAACGCTTACTTTTTTAATATTATTAATATTATTAATATTATTAATTACTTTTTTAATATTATTGTTTAAAAATTATAATTTCAATTTTAATTATTTTAGTATATATTTTATAAATAAATTAAATATTTATAAATAATTTGCATAATATATTAATATAAATTTTTTTAGGGTGATTCCTATTTCTCCCCCAAAATTATTGGTCTCGAAATCTGTAACAATGTCTCAACAACAAATGGCTGCAACTAACGCTAGTAAAGAAGACAGTCTTGAGCGTAAAATTCTTGCGATGGCTAGTTTGGATTTGACCGTTGCAATACAATCAATGAACAGTATAGATAATGTTTGTATTTAGGATTTATGTTTGAAACCATTAATGTATACATATATGTAATATACAATTATTTTATAGCTTATAAAGTCTCACCAAATTCTGAGCTTGCAATCTAAAGAAGATAAATTTATTGGTTCGATAAATATGCAACTAAAACTTTTGCAAACCTATCCTTTGCAACAAGGAGGAGCAGATATATCTAAAGGATTCAGAAATACGTTTATGGTTTTATTAGCGGTAAGAATTAATTATCTATATTTATAAAATATTATAGTCTATTGTTATATAAAAATTGCACTTATTTTCAGTTCTACGATACCGGAATTCTGGGGAAAAATGTTCCATTAATACATTTAAAGGAACTCGTCGATCAAATGATAAGTTTGTTAGCAGAGGAAAAATTCGAACATTTACACCAAGCGGAAGCGTATTATCGTGTGGTTAATAATATTGTCTGCAAAATAATAGACAATTCAAATCATACTACTATTATTTGGTAAAAATATCAGATCCGCACTAATATTATGATTATTTAAATATTCGATTACATTGGAAATAAATTGCTAATATATATTCAATTTTCAGTGTCTTAATAAAATTACTTCATGGATGTGCTGAATCTACTGCTCCTTCTAAATACGAAGAATTGGTGATGAAATGTTTATGGAAAATAGTAAAAACAATTCCTAATTGGGCTGCAGATTTAGATTATGATACCATCCTCTTAGAAGTACACCGTTTCCTCAAAGTATGCTCTGTATTATACATGTTCCTCAAAAGTATTTTGGATATACAAGGTACTTATAAATTTATATTTTTTAGGATTATCCAAGTATATGGTGGAAGAAACGAAAATCTGATACACCATTACGAACAATTAAAACGGTTCTTCATGGTATGACCCGCGTAAAAGGCAGTACAATACTCAGTCACCTAACTCGAATAAATAATACTAATGAATCAGAACTACATTCGTATTTAATAAGACTAATCGCGGTTAGTTAATTAAATATTTTTGCGTGATATTAGATTTTGAAAAGTAAATTTCTAATTCATTAACAATACGATTTAACAGACCTTTAAAGCAGATGAAATTAATACCAACCCAAAAACATCTACAAAACTTAGTAGCACTGGCAAAACTCAGGAACATTTATCGAAGTTCACACACCAGCAGTTGTCTGCAATATTTAAAAAGATTGGATCTAAAGAACATACGCAAGAAGTACGAATAAATTATATCTTATTTTTAATACGTGTTTGATATGATAATTGCTCTATTTTATACTTAATATTTTCTGCAGGGTTTAATGCAACTATATGATTTTAAACTACAGTATCCTGAAGCGGATGTGCAACCTTTCTTATTAAAATCGCATCAGTTTTTCCAAGATTTTATAGAACAAGGTTTAAGAGATATTGATCAAGCACGAAAAAACCAAAATCTTATATCACAAACTAATAATCAATACTCAACAGGTAAGTAGACCATACAATGCTATTACACACGATATAATGCGTAATGTTATATGTATCGTCGAAATCTTTCCAACATGGAGAAATTTCGTGTTTCAAAGTAATGTATGAATTTGATTGAGGAGGAGGATAAATAAAAATTATTTAGACAGAATTGAGCCTGAAAAATCATGCTAATTTATTGGCTCGAATGACTCGAATTAGGGGAGAAAGCCTTGCGGCATAAAAAAACCCCTTGCAAAATATATATTTGTTAATGATTGAACGGTGAAAGTGTGAATGAGTATGTATACGTTGTGTATATGTTGAGTATGATTATTGATTGATTTGAGGAACACAGGGTCTCGCTCAATGTTGTTTGATTTGATTTGAGGAGCACAGGGTCTCGCTCAAGGTTGTTTCGATTCGTGTTATAATCCACGTTGCGTGAGGTTATTTACGATGATCTATTCGAGGAGTGTAGTCCCGCTCGAATAGTGTTATGATTGATCTCCAAACCACCCTGCAATGGTTATTCTACGTTACGTTACACAGAACTGCTTGACTCTCGATCCGATCCGCACAAGATTCAACGTCCGACTGTCTTTTTGATGTAGAAATATCGCCTGAACACCCTCGCGTTTCCGAGGGTGACAGTTAAGAAAAACTCTATGCTTTGTTTATTAAAACTGTTCAAAAAAGAAAGGTATAGCTGTTAGCTGATTTAATGCAAGCACATGCTTACGCTAAGAATGGTCCGGACAAGACTTGATAGACAAAAGGCTCCTCGGTGACCCGTATTTCGAGGTATAAGCTATTCACGGTGGTCCCCGCGTCGAATCACTTGAATCCTGTAATGAATCCCTTAGTCGCAGCAAAGGTCTCGGTTCACGGCCGAACATTATAAAAGACAGTGATTGAACGCATATGTGATATAATTCGGTGATGTTATACAACACATGATGATATTATATAATTCTTAGGTAATACGAAGTACTGAACACATAATGTATGTCTGTATTGTGAATGGTGATATAATAGAGAATAATAAGATAGTAAGATATATCAGCTGTGTGCAAACAAACAGATAAACACTGCTTAATTATATATAACGTTAAGATATCAAAATATGTATTTATCACAGATTTTTATTAGAAATGGGTTTCTCACAACATCAAAACCTCGAAACTTCGCTAAAAAAAAGAATGCAATTAGACAAAAATATCAAACTAATGAATAAAGATTCGTTTGCAACATTTGGCGAATAATTTTTGTTTTTCAGAATATAAGCAGGTTAATAGTTAATCGTAACTGTAGAACTACAAAGCTAGGTCGATAATGTATATAAGCTTGAAAAGCTTTCTTGATGTCAGATGTGAGGGTTTCGAAATTTATGAAGTTTTGGATTCTGTGAATTCGATTCGAATCCATTCCCAGTTTTTATAATAAATATAAGTTTTTCTGTATTACAGAGACAGCTGAATCTGCTGGATCTGAAGACAAAGGTCTAATGGATCCCTTGAATAGGCTCGACAAATTTCGAGCATCTGAAGCACAATGTAGAACTACAACCAATCAACCGAATCCAACATGAATTCATCTGTATTAACATTTATTAGGTAAGGATAAAAAATTTAATGTTAATATTGATTTAAGAATTCGGTAAAACATCACAGTTCTCCTTATAACGAGTAAATATTTGAATTGAGTTGAGTACAAATGAGATTTATTCGTACTTGTCTTCTTGTTATTTATTTTGTATAAAAAACTGAGTAATTACAAATATTTCATACATTTTATATATACAGGAAGTATAGAGTGAATTATATTTTACAGGATTGCAGTGCTTAAATAACTGGATTAAAAATTAATAATACATATAACAAAATATTAAGCAAATAATATATAGATTATGTATATTAATCTCGTACCTAATGTACGTAAAGTTATGCTGTTCAGTACAACCTTAACTGTAGCATTTATGTTCAGTAGCAATGTATGCTCATTGCATAAAGTTTGTGTTACAATACTTAACGTAATTATGAACGTGTATACTACTTATATTTATTGATATTTGAAAACGGGAATTAAATTATAAGACATTAGTATTATGCTCTCTTTAGAGACTGATTTTATAGCAGATTTGTATTTCGTTATTTCTTTTAAAATAAATCCACACTTTAATGTATTTTGTAAGAGCTCATTTTTTTTGTTAATTTCATATTTATAAAAAAACATTTCATTAACCTGTGTTATTAACTTGAATTAAAATTTTATCAGATTATAAACAGCATGCTTCTCTATTTGTAATCATGGATCAGTAAAGACTGGATAACTGCGACAAACGATTGACTGGATAACTGCAACCTTACTATCCGCACTACTTAGGGGGTTCCCCCTTGAATCTTGACACTTGACAAGCGAGCAGCGTATGTAATGTAATCCGAACCGGCGTATCGATGTGACAATACTAATGCAACAGTAAAACGTTTTTATTTTTTGGTTTTGCTAAATATTAGTTTTTCCAATGTAAAAAAGATTTTCCTGATCAAAATAAGACCAAACACGGCATAATTTGAACAACATTTGTTTATGTAGTAATATTATTTGTTTTTTCGAGTGTATTGAGATGCGATTTTATATGGAACTAAAAGCCATTACTCGTCGGACTTTTCTAAAAATTTAATTTTAAATAGCCTCTCTCATTCGCACTCTATCCTTTCCTACGTTTAGCGCTCGGCTCGAGCCAAATGTAAACACAAAATCGACACCTCGACTCTATTAACTGCAACGCTTGGGTCCCGATTTTGTTGCAGTTATCCAGTCTTTACTGTATATGAATATAGATTTAATACTTTAATTTTTCATAATAAAACAGTATAGTATTAGGAACATGAAAATGATAGTAATTTAATATAAATGTCCTCGAAAATCTTAAAAAAATCTTATGTAGTGTAAATAGATTGTGTATATATTCTGATATAAAGTATTCAATAAAATGTCTTACAGTCAAACTGATTCTTTTTGTTTTATTAGTCAATTATGATAAATAAAATAAATGTATTAGGTCTATTTATAATTCATATTTACTTTTTATTTAAATCTGAAGAGTACACATAAAAATATCACATCAATCCACGTGTGTTATTATATTACATTGTTGTCCACAGCTTAATTATTATTTTGGTGGTTCTCACATGAAAAGTAATCATTTAAATATATACTTGTATTATTATATTAATAGTTCAAAGTATTATATTAGCAAAAATAAAAGCATATAAATGTTATTATTAAGCAATATAAAACATAATAGCAAGCGCCTCCTGCACTTAGTTTATTTCTTATAAACAAAATATAAATACGCATTGATAATACGCTTAAAACAGAGTATATTTTCTACTTTTCAGATTATAGAAAATATATTTTAGGCAACTAAAACTTTTTGTACGTTATTAAAACAAGAGGAAATTTTTTATGATAATATTAAAATATGGAGAGGACAAACAAGATAATTGTAATTTTGTAATATTAAATATTAAATCCTCTTTAATTTTCTATAACTCATGAAAATTGTATTTGTATTAATATTTCATACAGTAGTTATAAACAGATTGTATTACAAAAATATCTCCATAACTTTAAATATAAATTGTTTCATCAACAATTCATACACAAATAATGAAAATATAAATATATTTGCTCTGCAGGCTATAATACAAAAATACAACTCACAAGGAAACATATCGAACCGGGACACAACGATTTTAATAAAACTTATGTGAAAGATAGTTCTTAAGAACATATTTGACACGTATTTTTTTTTATCAGTCATCGTTCACATTGAAGGGGTGAAAATAACTCTCAAAGTTAAGGACTGAAATCATACTCAAATTTTTGTACTAAATGTTGATCTATTTTTTTTTGCAACTTTATGTATGTAAACTATGGCCTAAAATAGAGAATACGTATTTTTCGAATTTGTTGCTTTTAGTGATGATTATTATACAGGGTGTTACCTGTAACGCTACTCACGATTTTTCTCCTACTTGCAGCCACCTTACGAAAAAAAGTTTAGAATAAAATTTGCAGGGTATGAAGTGCACAATAGATATTAGTAAAGCAAATTTTGAAAACAGTTTGTTCTCTTGGCAAAGTCAAGGTCACCTTGGGTTTTTTAAATAGGAACATACATTTTTTGCAATCAGCATTTTTATCAAAAATATCATTATGTTCACAATCTTTTACAAACTTCTGGACATTATATACCTCTTCATATGCCGTTAATTGATTTCTTAATAATTATTATAAGCGTCGCAGGTATGAGCGTTTTAATCACCGCCACGACATAGGCTGACCGCGTCACGCTCATATGACGGATAAAAAAAATACGTGTCAAATATGTTCTTAAGAATTATCTTTCACATAAGTTTTATTAAAATCGGTGTGTCCCGGTTCGATATGTTTCCTTGTCGGATTTCTTTACTATATATATAAGAGTATGATGAATCGCGTAAACGTATATAAGTACAATAATTTTCGAAATTATACTAATTTTAATACACTATTTATAGTTAGATTTTACACATGTAATGATCGGTATTAACAATATTGATATTTCAAACAAATTCCGAAAGCAATTCTATTGCATAAATTAAAATTTGAAAGCCATATTTTAAGTTTATTATCAAAGTCCGTGGAAAATAAAAGCTTAAATACGATTGGAATTCACAATTTTCTAAAGTTTTGCTAGTAGCTACATTCTTTATGTGTAGACACTTTCAAATAAGGAGAATGTATCGCATTATTTTATTTTATACAATAATATATGTTTCATTAAACACATCTGTATAATAATGTCTCTAAAGTCTTACTCAGCCCTCTAAATCTCAGAAATGGCTTTTGATGTGGAAAACTGTCTCGCAAAATACCTGTGTGATATTAAGAGAAACACGTGATGAAAGCATTTCAAATTTCAAGGTAAAGTTTTTGCGATCGATCTTTCCTTAACCAGTTAACTGTGGCGATCTTTTTGCAAAGCGCGCACAGTGTGTGTCGCGAGAATCGAGCGATGACGAATTAGCTCTCAAGAATTCATGAATCCATCTCAAATCATTTACACTTTTTATTTATTTATTTCATTTCGTGTTGACCTCTAAACATTTTAAACACATTACAATTTACGAATATAATTTAGTTTTCGCCAAAATTACAATTTAAATAACAAATTTTAGCAAAATTTTACGCATGACGGATATAGTCGTCATGACACAAAATTTTGCTACATTTCCATGACGGATATAGTCGTCAAACACACTTAACTGGTTAAGTGAAATTCTCCATTTTTTATTGCATATTATTGTGGCTTATCTCAAGAGCTTTTCAAAGCACTTAAATGAAGTATGGTTCCATTAAACATTTCTCAACCTACAGGGATTGAAAGTTCCAGTACTTTCACATAAAATATAAAATATTTAATATTATTATAATATTTAATATTAGTATAATAATTAATATTATTTCTACCGAATAATGAGATAAATTAAGTGGTATGAAAAAGTAATATACTTACAGTTACGTGTTTCTTTTTGTACTGAATTGCCTCATTGTTCTATGTAAAGAATATTCAAGTAAAATTATCGAAATTTAAATTAACTACAGAATATATTATCTTTCAAGTCGAAATATTAGAAATTTTAAGTTTTATAACTTGCAAAGTTTTTAATAGAAACATATCTCATTATAAAGTTTTAAAAAATTTTCAAGGTAAGTTAAAAAAATATATAATAAAAAATGAAAAGTTTTGTTTAAAAAAATATTGACTACATTGGCTTGACTATGAAAATGTCATCCAAGATCAAATCCATGTTTTCATCATGTGTCCCTGCAATATTCTTGAATTTTTATCTGATATGTTTTTCCACATTTGAAGCCGTTTCTGAGATCCAAGAAGCTAGATCAGACGTTAGAAACATCTTATATACAGTATGTAACAAAAGTAGATAAACACCTGAAATTTGCAGCGAAAAAATGTGTATCAGTGCAAATATTTAAATTTACAAAATAAATTATACATCTATTTAATCTTTGTGTAATCATGTACATAACCATGCTGATAAAGCCTTGATTAATTATTAATCGATAAAAAAAAATACGATAAAAATGCACGGTACGAGACGAGTACTTGTTCCAAAAGTTACCACGATGTACATTGCTTGGCAATTTTTTAATCTATATTAGCTTGTAATCTTCAGTAAATGATTTTTATCGATATTTTGGTAGCAAACATGAGTCCATTGATCGTTTTTTTGTTGTGCATATATTTTTTTTTAGATAATAGTTGAAAAATTGCAATTTCCAATTTTGAAAATGTTTTGTTTTTGCAATTGCAGCTATTGAGTCGACTGAGACACAAACTGTAGTCATTTAAATGAAGATTTCAAGAGAAAAACGATCATGATCACAAAAAGTTAAATTTTTAGCATTTAAACATTTTGATCTCTTCCCGATTATAAAATATCCGAAAATAAATTGATTAATATTGCATTTTTTATAATATGTCTGAGTCTAATGGTAAATTTTATGAAAGTAAATCTTATTATTACAGTTTCATTGTTGATTTATTATTATTTTAATAAAAAAAGAGTATTGGCCCTGATCATTTTTCCAAGAAAAAATCATTTTTTTCATGATCTTGCAAATTATGAAAAATATAAAACATTTTGTACTATAAACAATTAGTAATGTGACAAAATACAAGAAATGGAAAAAATACCATAACCTAAAAAAATAAATAAATTTTCTTAAAATAATCCTTACAAAAAATATGAAGCCAGCAATTAATTGTTTAAACATTACTACTATAGATCTTTTTTCCGCTGGTAAGTAGTTTTTCTTTGTCAGTTAAGATTATATATGATTTAATCATCTAGTTAATAATCTAGTAGTCATTCTTCTTGAAGAGTTGTAACATTGATTGTTCTTTCTTGAATTTTTTTGCTTCTTCTTTTCAAGATCAACTTTGCTGCTTTCTTTAAAAAAATGTTTACTCTTTCGTATAATATCGGTAGAATTTTCCTTACTCTCGCAGTTTTTAAAATAAATTAAAAAATATCAATAGTAATCGCCATATTTCGAAAGTCTTGTTTTATTATAATTGTTATTTAACACTATTTCTACCAGGAGGTGCGAAAGGACACCTTTCAAATTTTAACTTAAAATTATTCTCGAAGTTGAATCATTTCTCCACAATTAATTTTTTGACTTTTCACAGGATAGTTGTTAAACTAATTCAGTGGTATCATTTTCTTTTAATTTATTCTAGATCTGAAAATACGCATATGATATACTTATTTTAACCATAAGCTGTCTTTTGACACCTTAAGGACTTCATGACAGTGCCTAATTTTAAACCATTTTATGTATAAATATCAGCAATATTTTGCATCCTCATATTACTAACAATCAGATTCGAGAATTCTGATTTCAGTTGTAATGGAAAATCCAGGAGTTGCGGCATAACCTTGATATTCGCTTATTTCCCGCCATGTTGCATTTTAGTGTACAGCGCTATATTTATATTTTGTAGATTATGAATTAAGCTAGAATTTACAACGTGATTAAGTAATTTCTAATAAAAACACATTAATGTATCAATAAATATGTTCCCCAAATTATCTATATTTAACTGATAATTTGAAATCCCAACTGTTTTGGTAATTATTTGCAGTCGAAAGAAAAGGTGTGGAAAGGCACCTTTTGGTCGAAACAGGTATACACAAAATCGTAGTAGAAATAGCGTTAAATATATTTAAATAATTACATTGATTACAATGATTCTATAAAATAATTCGGTATTAAAAGTGGATTGCATAGTTGCAGTCATAAAAGCATAAAATATTTCTAAAGTTGGAAATTTGAAATTTTTCTCCAAATTTGATTTTCTAAAATACTATATATACTGAAAAAAACGAGTTTACAGATTTGTCTCCGACACAAAAATATAGAACAATCATTTTTTAAAGATTCCAAGATAAGAAAGATTAAAAACTTATCAAGAAATATATGTTGTGTTTAGATCATGCGATCATCGCATATCGTATTTTCTTATCTTTTTTTATGAATAGATTATTAATTAATAACAGTATTATCAGTATAGTTATGTAGCTCGTTTCATTGTTTAAACAGATGTAAAATTCGTTTTGTAAAGTTGAATATTTGCCTATGCACAAATGTTTCTTACTACAAACTCCAGGTAGTTACTTACTTTTGTTACACACTGTAGGTAAATACTGTCTGTGGTTTCATATATCTTCCGAAGGGCTGATAAAAAGTGCTGTAAAAGCAAACAGTAGAAACACTAATCCGCCAATTATGGTCACTAAAAATAACAAATTTATTGTGTTTATATTCTTTTCAATTGCATTAATCTATAATTAATATTATAATAATTTATATAAGAATTTATTATTATAATATAAATTTTATATATTTTTTAAAATATCACAGTTATTCAGACTTTCTTAAATAAGGGAAATCCAGTCTCAAAATATATGGTGCACTCATTTTTCCAATGCTGTTCCTTCAATTTCACTCTCTTCAAACGAAAAACAAAGAATGGTAAAATTCTTACTATTTCAGCTGAAAGGACAGTGTTGAAGAGGAGAGCACATCATATGTTTCAGGGTTGAATTTTCTCTTTACAAAACCTATAGTAATCCATTAATGTATAGAAATATATATTTGAATATAGTTTACCTGTTCGTACTGAAATTTTCTGAGCTATCATTCTACCTCCTAATACTGCTAATCCTGTACAAAACATATGTCCTAATATTCCACCTACTACAACTCCATAAACATCCTAGAAGTAAAAATATATTTCTAAGTGATTTCTAAGTGACTTCGTACATTATTTTATTGTAATAAACTACATAAATTTAATTTGAAATAATACTATTTGTTACCTCTCTTGCTGCAAGTATAATAGTGGTAAGTTGTGAACGGTCTCCCCATTCTGCAACAAATGTTAATGTAAACGCTTGAAGGAATATCCTAGATAAAAGCATTAATGCACTAATTTTTGCAGTTTTTCTTATAACACCAGTCTCTGGATCCTGTATTGATATACTTCCTGTTTCCTTTTCATACTGAAAATAATATTTAAATATTATATAAGTTTTGAAAAAAATATTAACAGAAAATATCAAAATGATTATTTTGAAAGATATACAATACTAAACTTTTAATAGTTGTGATTATAATACCTCATCATCTCGTTTCCTTAAATCAGTTTGTACTTCTTCTAATTCCTCTTGTGCTTCTGTCACAGACATTTTATAACCATCTCGTAACATTTTCAAACCGAACAAAGCAAAAAGAGCAGTAGAAATGTAATACGTATATGCACGTGGAATTATAGTTGCAGCATATCCAAAAATCACTGAAGATCAACAAAAACAAATATGATAATTTTTAACTTCATTTTTTATCAGTGACTGCTAATTAATATATATGTAACATCAGAGCCATCTTAACAATATTGTAAGTCCTGAGTAAAGTCCAAGATCCTTATGCATCTATTGAAATCGTAATTTTTTTTTTATTTGAACACTCTTACGAACATGTGGCCCCTGGCAACTGCCACAAGCCATGCAGATACCAAAAATAAAATTGTTTAATGAGAATTTTATAAATGACAATACCTGAAAGAATAGTCATGAGAGCTAAAGCACTTATTGCCCCAACAAAAACTGTCAGTCGTGGATGTTTCATTGCCATTATAGCAGCAATAAAAAATGTTTTGTCTCCTAACTCAGAGACAACAATTACTGACAAAGAAGCTATAAGTGCATGTATAAAGCTTAGGTTATCCTTATTTTGTGTTAACATTTCATCCTTGGGTATCTAAAATTCATAATAAACATATAATTAGCTATTTCTCGTTATCAAATAAATCAAAACAAAATCAAATACTTGCCATCGACGTCATAATTTCAAATTTATCATTATATTGCGGTTCGCTTTCAATCGGCACTATAGGTAAAACAAAATAACTTACTATGCACAAGCGAAAAATATTTTCGCTTTTTACCGTAAAGAAGTTTAAACCCATTATTCTTCATTTACAACGATAATACAGAGGGCTTTAACCTTAAATTTTTTGTACTAAATACCTTATCAATAAATCTAAACACACATGAATACCATAGTGTGAAGCGTTTACTTTCTCCCTACCAACAACGACTACAGATTCAATTGGATTGAATAAGACTACGCATGATATCGATGCGTCACGGATTTTGAGATCCTAAGTCCTAACATATAGATATATGGAAATAAGTTACACGTGGTGAGAGACATTGAATTTGATATAAAAGACGAAGAACAGTATTGGTTACGTCTTCTCTTTCTACTATGTAAGTCGGTGGAGTAATTCCACTCTTGTTATTTCCTTCCCTTCATTGCCCTTTATTCGCTTTCTCTCTTCCTTTTGTGATGTGCAAGTGAAAGACCACCACCATTGATGTTTGTGTTATTCTGGCTTGCATAATTCCCGCCATGGGAAAATCCACATTCTCTTGCGCATCTTGGCTAAGTTCAAAAGGTTGTGATGCTCAACTTTACTTGTGCTTTGAGCTCATTCGTCAAAAGAACATATTCGTTCCGCGCATCTCAGCTAACTTCAGTAGATTCGCCTTTACCTATACTCTGTTCCACAAAAAAAGGAAATATACTCTGTCCGTGATGAGAAAAAGCCTTGCGTGTTTCTCTGTCTTACTACTAGTTATGTTCTCTGTCATTATTCTACACGTGACATCTCTACGTTGTCATAGACTACGTTTCCATCGAGGGTTCAAATCGGGTCAGAGTCGGGTTCGAGTCGGGTTGGGGTGAGCGCTTTTACGGTGGAAACACCAAAGGTTTAGTTGAACTCTACCCTACAAAATTTTAGGGTAGCGTTCAATTGGGTTCGGTGGAAACGACAAGAGTCGAGTTCGTGTTGCCAACATAACAAATCCAAATTGCATTGTGTATCACGTGTTGTATTAATCGGTGTAGAAGAGGTTATTATTACTTTTTGTCGGTGATCTTGTAATCTGAGAAATAATTTTTGTATGTTATTTTGATATTGTAAAATTAATATTGCTCTCCTTTATATGTCAGAATATGGTAGTTGACTTAGTGCAGTTGGTAATGTTCAACCCTGCCGCAACTCCAACCCGCTACTCAAACCCGACTCTAACCCGACTCTGACCCGATTTGAACCCTCGATGGAAACGTAGTCATATACAATATACACGATGAGGAAAAATGAAGGCATAAAAACAGCTGATGATATAAGAAATGTGCAAGATCAAAGCAACGTTATAATCAATTTTACTGGTATACTTATAAAATGTAATGATACATTAATAATATAATAATTTTTATTAAATTAAAGTTTATAATTAAAATTATGTAATTTGTTTCATTTTAATTGAAATTATATAATTAAAATGATTAGAATTGTTTTTACTTGTTCGTTTTTTAATCAAAGAATTTTGAATATTGAAAAAAAGTTTGTCATATAATGAGCTAATGTACTGGAATTAATGAAAACTTTGGGTGTACTGAGTATATGTACTTTCGGTTTCTCGTTGTCTCAATTGTGCTTGTGCGTTATCATAGATTGTACAGTGTGCAAACTTAGTCAACATATGCAGAAAGAACAAAACTTCGTTATATAGTCAACTTCTGCGGAACAGAGTATAGAATTGTTCTAAAATTATGTGTTTTTGATTCAATTAGTTGATATGGTGGACAAAAGTATATTGATAAGAAGAAGAATTAGTGATAGAAGTATACAAAATAAAAGATCACTTGGTATATTAAGTGTCAAAAATATTGCAAAATTGCATGCACGTTGCTCTTGGTTACTTGTCATACTCGACTAATCAGAGATGGGATGCGCAGAACGAATGAAAATTGATCGAACGGCGGATGGAGTGTACGAAGTGGGAGTATAAACAATAAACAAAAAACAAGCATTGTTTCACCGGGTTGAAAATACAATACGTACACAAAATTTAATTGTACACAATTACGAGAAGTAACAATATATGATTTTGTCATACATATATAATATTTTAAAATTTAAGAAATGGGAATTGTTGTTTCTCGCAACAATCTTAATCTCTTTAAAATGGTCTACAATCATTACAATCCGACCAGACATAAATTATTTAACAGAGATAGAGAAATGTCCAGCATGCTTTGGCATGTCTGCGTGTAATTATATTGATGAAGTAGATATTACGTTTCGTGATGTTTATTCCACGTTTTCTTATTTTTTTGGTGTAAAAAATATATTTTTTGGCACACTTAATAAAAATAAGGTTATATTGAAGAAGCTGGCACATACCTCTGAATTAAATGAATTCGACCGGCTGCTTTGTGAAAATGCAAGTTTATCTTATCTTTGTACAATGAATGCACAGAAAGAAGGTACAAAATTTGATGCCAATTTTTATGAACTTATAGAACAGCAAGTCAGTTTACATTTTAATCAGGATCATTTTAGTCATTTAAGACTATGTCCTAATGTTCAACATTTAAAGAATCTTTTACAGCATATATATATGAACAATAATAATGTTGATTCAAAAATGCTTGACATATATATTTGGGTATTAACAGTTCTTAATCCTGAGCCATTACTTTTACAGGTACAGATATTAATTTATAGGTACACATATTAATTATCTAAAATTATATTCATAATGTCTATATAATAGATTTTTGAAGTTCGCGCACAATATGTTTCATTACATGATGATAAATGACTTTCTCTCGTTGTTCAAATTTAGAAGTTACATTTTTTTCTACATTTTTGTTTGAATTTAGAGGATTTGCTCTGTATTAAATTATGTACCTGAGCATACTTTTATTATTGACTTTCACATAAAAGTTAATAATATTAATGATATTACCGTAAGAAATGTGATTGATAAAATTAAAATATAGCAGAATATAAAATATTAAATTAAAAAATTTGTTATGTTCAGCAATGAATAAATTTATAAATAAAGTACTCTTACTTGTGTATAGATATTATCTGCAGAGAAAAATTGGCCAGTACCAAAATATTTTGGCGCTTGTGGACGAATTGTAATTGAAGAATATGTTGGATTACCATTAACTGCTTATTACAATGAACCATGGTTAAATAGAGCTAAATTAGCATCTAGTCTTTTAAATGCTGCTCATATGTTTACCTACAGAGATGAAAATTTCAGTTTTTATTTAACTGATATATCAGTCGATAACATAGCAGTTGATTTAAATAGTAATGTAAAATTTGTGGACTTAGAAAATGTAATTATTGTTGATAAAAATATTGAAGGTAATATTATTTTTAATTTAATACAGCTTATTATTTAAGAAATAGTAGAAAGTATGAAGTATAAGACATATGTATTAATGAATAATTTAAAGATTTCTTAAATATATTTCTCAGAAAGATCACCACAGTGGAATAAGTTACATGTAAATATAGAAGATTTCAGCTGCCCTGAATGTTTGGTATTTTCTTCTGTTGAAATATGTAATCATAAAATTAGTGACCACAACTATTATGCAATATGCAAGGTTAGTGATTGATATAAAAAAAAAATAATATGCAGAACATTTTGTTACTAATTTTAATGAAAAAATTTCTTAATTTTCCATAAAAATATTATACTTACAGATACTGTTATCGCTAAACACAAATAATAGTATATTACCTGGTGGTCTTCTACATGATATACCTGCAAAAATATTAAAACAGTATCCAAACCTACAGTATTTAATAGAACAGTGTGTTAGTCCAGATGAATCCTTTACTAGAATAACTGCTGGAATGCAACTTAAGCAATTATTAGATATGATTATTAAATGATAATTTTATACATATGTACATGTAAGGATTTTTTCTTTCTTGAAGGTAAATTTTTATAACTACATTTATACATATAAACAGTTCTTACAAACCATGTGATATCAACGTTTTGTTAGTTTTATTAGTCATATTTGGTACTGTGATATATGATGTCCATGCTTCAATTGTTTCCAAATTATAAACAATATAGAAAACTTTGTTTAATAAAAGACGCTGAACATAAAAATTGTAAATATGTAGATACAATACAATAAGCTTTTTACACTAACAATAGTTAGCAGTAGATAAATCCAAATACCATGGCAAGCAGTACTACCAGAGAAATACCCTTTTCAATTTACATGTTGCAAAAGTATTCATAAAAGAAAAGGCAATGTAATTGCAAAATCAACGTTAATTATATAAATAATTTTGTTCCTGAGCTAAAATATTCCAACATTCAATAGCAAAACATTTGATACAAAAGCATGTCTTTAATTGAAAATATGTAGCATTTTGGCAGATGTAATTCGGAAATATACGTTCAGCAATAAGCCAACATACGTAAGTATTTATACATGTACTCATTTATATGTACAGAAAATTAAACGTGTCTCTTGGATTTGCTAACATTTCATGATTTCTTTTGAATTAGACATATAAAAAAATTTATATTGATTACCATGCATTTGTCTTTTATGTGTTATGATATAAAAAACAGTATGTAAGCAAGCTGATACATAAGATGAAAGCAAGACGAAAAAATGTAATGAATGAATGACTGGCAATATTAGGACCATATAAGTATTACATAAGAAATTGCAAAACATAAGCTGTCAAGTACATAATTCCTTGTGTACACACATGTACACTGATATACAAGCATACATCAACTTCACCTCAAATATAAATAGTATTATAAATCAGTGTCATTAGTATGCTCGTATTATGCAGCTAAGGTATGTCAATTTTAATTTTAGCAATTTATATCTCGGAAACTATTATTTTGCCGAGTTATGTGCTCATTCATGTTACTGTTCTCTGCATTGAGTACTACCACGTAATAGAGTTTCAAAAAAATAAGCTAGAAGTTGTTTCCCACAAGAATTCATTCATGTTCTTTAAGAACTTGGAAAAATTGGATTTGCAAATTTGAAAATTTGAGGATTCGGAAATTTAGAAATTAGAAAATTTAGGAATTTAGAAACTTTTACATTTGAAAATTCAGGAATTTAAAAATGTTTAGTTTTGAAAATGAAGGACTTGGGGATTTAAAAATTTCTAAGTTTGCATTTACTGCTGACGTCGGAACCAATTCGCCTTTACTCAAAGAAATTTGTATTTTTTATGCAAACATATTTCATTATAAGGCTCCTTAAATTTTAACTAAAGGTATATAAACCTGATCAGTTTTTTGAACTATTGAAGATACTGCAAGACATACAGTGACAATCGAGATGTGACGACAAAGGATTCAATACGGAGTTGTAAAATAGTCGATTTTTGATAAGATCCTGAAAAATAGCCTTAATCTAGATCGCGTCTTCCGGCTCCATTGACCTTGATGTAAAGTGATTCTTTGGCAGCGAATAAATACTTTTATAAAATGTAATTTGCATTTATGAAACCTGCCAAGTTAAAGATCTTGCGATTTTGCGTAGAATAGTCTTATATATAAGAAATATCTGGATTAGAGGTTAGAAAAGGTCACATCTTCAAAAGCAATTGTCCCCATTTGTCAATAACCTTTTAATTCGAAACCATTTCAGTAATTAAGTAGTCAAAAATTTATTTTCCTTTTACGGAAAAGTGAATATCAACTCAAATAATTTTATAATTATCTTTGAAACAAATTTTGTTAATATGCGATAATTTTATTAAAAATCATAATATTTCACATTAGGAGTATAGGAAAAACATTTGCGGCAGGTTTATTTTTAATTATTACATAGGAAGGCCATTCTAAATCTTGTGAAAAACTAAAGAACTGTAGATATAGATAATTCGTTGTATAATTTTAGAAATAAATTATCAAGTAGTAATTTATTTGCATTGATTGATAGAAAAATATTTATTTCTTAAGTATTTTTTATTATTGAATTGTTTTACCTAATTATGTAGACTATAGCCATGTTTTAACTTAGTCATATTAGTAAATACAATTACTTCATTTATCGTAAATTTTAATGTTTTAACTTTTAAATTTTACTGTTGTGATACAGTCATCTGAAATTTGAATAGTAATCCTCCAAAAGACCTTGTGCTTCAGGCTAATCGTGTTCGTTTTTGATTGGTTGCTGCTACACTGATTTGAACGCGAAGGAAAGACAAAGAAAGATCACCTAATTACAACAAGAACGCAGTAATAACTTCCAGTGGTGGAAAAATTTTAATTCATTTGTATGAATATTAAAATAACAAAATAAATATTTTTGTGCATTTAATGCGAAATATTAAAATTTACTGTGTTATTGCATCATTTTTCAAAATTTATTTTATGCATGAATAAATCATTATTTTAATTTATGTTTAATAACAGTACAGATTAAATTATTAAGAAGTTAATTGAGGGAAATGGATTTAAATGTATATGTCAAAATAATATTCACTTTTCAACATAAAATTGATACTCTAATAAAATAAATTTTAGTATTATGTAATAGAATTAATTTTAGTATTAAATGGATAAAAATAATATGCTGTTATATTATTAGGAAAATTTTGTTTCGTATAAATAGATTTGAGTTTTATCGCCGTAGATCAGTATGGCGAAACATTTTCCTATATATTCACTTAAAGATCATTAACATTGAAATGTTGCCTAAAAAAAAATTGATTCTATTTTCTAAACGATGTCATTTCGAAATTATATATTATATTTTCAATATTATTAAATCGTGCAGACAAGAAGAGACTTAGCTGACTGTATTTGTCGGTATTAGCAACTGTATACCCCCCTTAGTAATTAAATATTCATTTCATTTGATCGAAAATGGTAAATAAAACAATATACTGACTAAAATTTTAAAGCATTGAAAGTATTTCATTTACAATTACAAAGAGTGTTCTTTTATGTATTACAGATTTTATTATCATAAATTATTATTAAATACATATCGCTGTTTGGTATTGGTAGTGACTGAACTCAGAAAATCTAAATTTTAGTATTGTCAGTTAATTATACGTTTATTTTTCTTTGTTTTTTTTTGTTTTTTTTTTTTTAAATAAAAATAGAAATATAACTTTGTCTAAACATTAAATGTTGCGCTTGAAAATTAATATACTTAGAAATTTAGAAGGACCAATAATAACAACATCTTGTTTATGCAAAAATCTGTAAAGTGAAAAATATTTACTTTTTAAGATGATGCGAAAAAATTTTCATAACATTTTTTATTTTATAATAAGTAAAAAATGAACGATATTTCGGTTTGTAATCAGTTTATTTATGAATAGTTATCTTAATTGACATGCATTATATGTATCGTGTTATCAAGATTATATTTTATTACAAAATGTAGAAACAAAGTAATAGATAAAACAAAACTTTGGTTTATGTGAAAGTTATGAGGGTATCTTCAATAAATTAGTTTTAGAAATGTCTTTTATATATAATGTAAATCGTATATTTTTTAATGATAATATATCTGCAATACATTGTAATATTTTGCTTTTAATTCGATGAAAAATCACCAATGATATAATACTAATTTGTATTCCTTTCTCTAATTATTGTAATTGAGTTTTACAAAAATTGTAAATACTTTTTACATTAATTTTGTGCTATTTTATTCTATTACCGTGTGAATTTCGGCAAGATTTCAATTCAAACAGAATTGAATTATACATCAATATGCCGTCATTCTGAATGATGGCGGGAAAGTATTTTTTTGCAGGAGCACCTTCTGTTGCTTTGCTGATAGGTAATAATAATTCATCAAATATTATTCTCTGAAATTTGTAAATATTAGAATAGCATTAATATTTAATAATTAAGAAATGGAAGTATTTATTTTCTTATTTGTTATATCATAACATATTTAATACTATTTTCTCAGATTTGAAAAACTAGAAAAACCAGTTATGTTAGAATATTTTCAGTACTCAGTATTGTACAGAATCGTATATAGATAAACCCATTAGAAGACTCAATACTATTTCTTTATTATACTATGCAGAAAAGTTCCGAATACTTGCTTACGTCACTGTATGTGCGATAATAAAATTTATCTAAGGTGTATTTCAGCATAGATAAGACATACGAGAAGACATTTCACTTTTCAGTCTTTTGTTTCTCACGTGTGACTGCCATACCGACCTGGAAAAAGTGAAACTGATTGGAATATTATTTGCTTATAAGTAGTAGTTGGTATATCATTATTATTATTTATTTCTCATTCTGTTATTTATTTTTCAATCACGGTGAGTGTTTAGAGCATTTGGGTAAAGTTGTAAAAATTTATAATAGGACTCTAGATCCTTAGAAATTGGAGATAGAAAAATACATTGAATGATAGGTCTATTCCATACTTCACCTGTGATTTCAGTTTGAATACCAAGACGAAAAATAATAGGAAACATTTTTGAAATTCCAAACCGTGCAATGTAGTTGTTAATAACAGTTGTTAAACGTAGAGAGCGCAACAAAACAAGTTTCACTCGATGTCGGTATTTCAGATTATACGGCTCAGACTCCTGCAAGCTAACTGCTCTATTCTGCAGCAAATTCGTGGTAAAATAAAATATAATAAAAACATAGTTCGCAAGATACCGCAGTAGCCGAGCATGCTTAGTGGCTAACTGAGCAATGTGGCAGTCGACGGAAAAAGTCGTTGGTAGGAGAGGGTCCCGTTAAAATAAAACTTCGATTTTTCGCTGCTCCGTACACCATTATACGCGAATAATTCTGCTGTGGTGGCGCAATAGTAAAGCGTTGAGGAAGTAACCGTGCTGCGTGCTGTTCAGTTGGTCGCTTCGCCGGCTGTTAATGCTATTGTCGGCAGTTAATGCTTCCCGTTTCGAACGCATAGAATATTGATTGCACTCTGTCAGTGAACAGTTTTCAGTCAGCGAAGGATCGTCTAACGTGGTGTTTCGTGAGTCTCCAGAACGAGCAAGGTACCGATCATTGTGCTGCACGTGCAATTCAAGCGAACAAGAAAAAAGGAATCGTGTTGTCTTGTGTTGTAAGAAATTTACATATAGTATAGTCTCGTGCATATTCCTCTGTCAAACTACCGTGATATACGTGAACAGTCTTAAGATACTAAACAACATACAAAATATAATTTCTTCTTATAATTCGAGTCATTGATAACTCAGCTTAATAATTAATAAATTTAATAAATCAGAAAATGATATTGATCGTCGCGCCTATAACAGAAACTGTTCGTGCCAGGTGCAACTCCAAAATGCATCAAAATTAATCTGAACGTTCTGTTTTAAAATTGAAAACTAAAGGTTACTCCTCGTGGTATTATATCATTAATCAATTATTATTTACATCTGGTGTAATTTTAAACAATTGATTTGCAAAAAAAACCCATAAACCGTGCGATGTAGTTTTTGAAAGCTCCGCGTATGTTGACCGTGGCACGTTGCGTAGGTATAAATACGATCGTGTTGTGGCAGTTCACGCTGTTCCTATACGACATACGATAGTGATCGTAACATGTGCGATTCTGAAACAAAGAAGCTGCTGTCTCTCCTGCAACTTTTCTACAAAGATTGATTCATAACAAAGAGATTATCTGATCGCGGTGTCATCGATAAACGAGAAATTCATCGTAGTGCCATTCATCCAGTACAATTCGTAAGAGAGATTGACCTTGTTGTTTCGTGGAGATTTACAAGCGTGCGGAATTTTAATTTAACGAAAATACGAGTAACGAACAGGCTCATTTTAGCTTTCATACGCAAACGGATAGATGTCAGTCGCTCGCCTATCCCTAAAATGCAAAGTATTGATCGTGGCACCTCGTACGGCTCAGAAATAATGTTACTACCAATACCGTGGCTACCTTACGTAATTTCGAAATATAAAGAGTGCTCGTTTTAAGTTCGAAACGAAGAGGGTTCGAATACGAGTTGCATTTGTGAACGATCGTATCTTGCGTAGGTTGACAGTCTTGAAGAAATTCTTTGTCGAAAAGAGAGCATCATTTGTACCATTCAGTATTTGGAGAGATTTTCAGATATATATGTATGTATATATATATATATACATACATATATAAATATATACACATATATATACATCTGTTATTCGTGCTGACTTTTACAGTTTCGAAGTACAAGTAGCAGAATTCGGTGGATAGAGTGGGTGACATTGGAACATGGACATCAGACTTTTACTGTTAATTCTGGCGATTATCGGTGCAATGTTCGGTGCGGTCGCAACCAGATTCGGGTTTCCCGGATTCAACAAGATCGCACAGATCGTACTTGGTGTGGCGCTGCTTCCCGTACTATGCAGATTCCATCGGAAGCTGTACATCATGTGCAAGGTTCTGCCTCGTGATCTAAAGTAAGTAATAAATCATTTCTTGTTTATGTCAGACGTGAACTGATAGAAATAGAGCATAGACTTCGATAATCCGTTTCAATGATCCGTTTAGTGTCGCTGTTAACGATGCAAACTTGTCCTGTACTATGAAATTAGGGGGCCCGCGCTTAGACAGGGGATAACGAGATATCGATATTTTTTTTAGTATAAAGGAGGTACGCCTCCACTGGCAATATAAAGGTTACTTTTTTTAATAATCTCGCACCTTTATCATTTAAATAATAAAAAATTTTAATCTTTGTGTTTGGTACTCTGTTAATTATTTTGTTTTTACTCGTTTTTCCCTAACTGAAGATTAGTATTAAGAAATTTATTTATCTCATGGTAGGGGGACAACCAGATATTGGTATTTTTGAATTGATTCTCATTTCCCCTCGTAAAACATCATAATTTGAGGATTTATGTCTGCAATTGATAAGAGTCCAATTAATTATAAATTAATTATATAATATATTTTATAATTAATTAATTGTACGCATGTGACCTTAAACATTCAATTAAAAAAAAAAAAAAAAATATATTTCTAAAAGTTTTAAATAAAATAAATGAACTGTGCAGAAAAACATTTCATTCCATTTGCGTGAACGCGAATCCCGAAATTTGCCATCAGATGTATTGTTTTCATAGTTATTTATGTATTTAAATGGCAATTTATTAAACTTCCTCACACTTTGTTAAAATTATATAAATTAAGAAACACCTAACTGTTTGTTATATTCTGCTCCATGTATGCTGGATAAATTAATAGACTATGAAATTGTATTTATATTATTATTGATATAAATTTATATCAATTATTATTGATATAACTTAGATAATGTTATCAGAATTATTTATTTAAAAATATTTAGTACTTACATTTGTAATTTGCACGCGCAGAAAATAAATAAAAGATTTATTGATTAAATAATTGCTAATAATGAAATATAACATCATAAGTTATTAGATGTTTGTTAAGTTGTATAATCTGAATAAATTGTAAAATTAAAAAATAGTCATTTAGGTACAAGAACACGATAGAAAAATATTGAGAAACAAGTGCAATGAGATTTGAACGTAGTCTTTTGTTTGTAACAGTAAATTATTCATCGTTGAGTTACAACACAATACAAAAACTGATCTCTGCTCGATCAATTTATTTTAAACGATGTTGTTAAACGTTGTTCTCAAAATTGTTTCAAATTTTTACTTGGATAAATAAATTCTTTAATAATAACATTTAATTAGGGACAATAAAAACGCAAACAAATATATCAACGTCTTACCTCTTGTAAGCAGTAAAGGCACTTAACAAATTTTTCTAAAAAACAGTCTCTGAATACTTCGAGTGTTTGAAGTAAAATTTAGATAGTGTATACAAGGCCGTAAGTCACGAAACCATAAAGAGGCAGGTGTTTCTGTAAATAGATATAACTTCGATAAAAACGTCCATTTTAAATGCAGTTGAACTTGTATTGAAGGCAAAAGACTATATTTTCTGGCATTGTACGCTAACATTGCAATATATGTTTTGAAACATGAATGAATTTTTACTATTTCACGAGTTTTATAAGGGAAGATTAAAGTGCATAATGTCGTGGGTGTCGACTTCGATAAAGTCGTACGAAGACATCAAAAGGAATAAGAGTTAAGCGATAATTTTTTTTAGATTGAACTAATTTCGATAATTATTAGTGAATTTGTGGAATATTGAGTTTTCATAATTTATGATGTATAATCTTATTTAATGAATAACTAACGATTTATTTATACAATTTCTCCTGAACACTGTTTAACGGTGTATATTAGCATGAAATTCTTGTGATGTACTTAAAAAAAGAAATGAATTGCTTTTTTGATATTGTCAACGTTTTTTTAACTAGATATCCATTTGAAAAAGCTTTATTGTAAATAAAAATAATCATCATTTGATATTTCTTATTTTCTTAAATTTTTTCAAATTCCTAAATTTTCCAATTTTTAAGAAACAATATAGATTGCTAATTTTCAAACTTTCTAATTCCTAAATTCGCAAATTTTCAAGTCTTAAAATTTTTAAATTCATAAATTCTCAAATTCTCAAATTTTTAGATTTTCAAATTTCCAAATTCTTAAATCTCTAAATTCTCAAATTTCCAAATTCATAAATTTTCAAATTTCCATATCCTCAAAGATCTAAAACTCAACATGTTCCACATAATTCATAAATTTCCAAATGTCTGAATTTAAAAATGTTTAATTGTCCAAGTTTTCAAATTCTCAACTTGTTCAGGTACCAAATTGTATCATAAATTTCTAAAAATCTTTAAATTACTGTCTCGGTTTGCACGAAGTTATGAATCTAACTTTCTTTTCATTACACAACTTTCATTATGTAAAGTATTATGGCTTTATTAAGTAAATCCGGAAAGGTTATGTTGACATTTCTTATAAACATAAAAACGTAACATTATTCTTGTACGTGCTTAAGTGATTGTCTGTGAAAATATTCTCATTAAGGCAGTGCTTGAAGTTCAATTTCTAAAATGTTACAGGGTCACCTTAAGGGTCGGCTCTGGTGACCGAATATTTTGAGTATAATTTTTAGCGACTCTAATGGAAAATTAACCAGTTGAGTATGTTTGACGACTATATCCGTCATGGAGATGTGGCAGAATTTTGTGTCATGACGACTATATCTGTTATGCGTAAAATTTTGTTACAATTTTGATATTTAAATTGTAATTTTGACGAAAACTAAATTACATTCGTAAATTGTAATATGTTTAAAATGTTTAGAGGTCAATACGAAATGAAATAAACAAATAAAAAGTGCAAATGGTTTGAGATGGATTCATAAATTCTTGAGAGCTAACTCGTCATCGCTTGATTATCGCGACACACACTGGGGCGCGCTTTGCAAAAAGATCGCCCCAGTTATCTGGATAACAAGTTCCGGCGATCTTTGTTTATCTTATGTTGTTTAATCAGAAGGGACAAGGATAGTTATTTGATTTCCAATAATGTGCAAAAATGCAACTTCAAATTGAAACCAAGAGGCAATTGTTTGTCATGATTTCTTTTCCAAAATATTCTTTGCA